GAGATTTGAACCGCTGACCTGCTGATCTAGCAGTAGCCTGCAGTGCTGCATTTAACCACTGCGCCACCTTGGGTAGTGGGGAAGATTGTGCTCTCCTAGATGAGTAGACATTTCTTTTGGGTGGGGAGGGGAGTGTTGCCTTTTGTGTGCATGAGTGACTGAGATGCGGGAAATTCCTACTAGAGGATTGCCTGCAAATTGAGTGCAGAGATCCAATCTGCAGTTCTGGTTCTTTGAGAGGAGACCAGTCAGAGATGATCGCTTTGAAAGGAGTGTGACTGGAGGAATTATATAGAAGCTTGAGATTCAGGGAGAGTTCTGACCAACTTCAAGCCTGCAGGCAGGTCTGAGAAATCTCTCAGGGAAAAAGGGACAGTTTGGTCAGGCTTCGAGCCTACAGAAAGGTCTGAGAAATCCCCTTACTGAGAAATCCCCTTAAGAAGCTTGAAAAAAGGGGAGGGTTCTAACCAATTCCGAGCTGACGAAAAGTGTTCTGACCTAGGCTCCCTGAGAAAGCATAAATCACAATCTTAGTCCCCAAACCCCTTTTATTTATACAGCTGTGAATTATGGTCATTCACAGCCCACAAGGCTTCACAAACAGTCTGTGAAGATTCCAACAGATGTCTGCTCAAGTTGCCACAAGCTTTCAGGAGAATGTTGATAAACACCCACCTTATCTCCCTTGGAATGCTGCCAGAGACCTAATTGCCAAATGCAGAGCAAGGCCAAAGAGAGTCAAACAGAACTTTTCAAAGCTTGAACTGACCAGATGAACTAACTGCTTCCTGCAAAGGCTCATGTCCCATTCGCTCCTCTTTTATGTCTTTTGAGAGGGGCCAATCATCTCCAAGCCTTACTCCCGAGTTGACCCTGTTTTCTTAATTGTTCTTGCCTTCTGTCAGCTCTGTGCATGTGCACACTGAGAACAGGCTTCTGCTGTTCTTCTGCCTCACTGATGTCAGACTCCGTAGGCTCTGTAGGGAGCACATAACTACCAGACAGCCTTGGCCCCCTCTCTGCCTCTGATGCAGAGCCCTCATATGAGCCTTCCCCAGACTCCAGGATTGGCCCATGTTCCTCCCCAACCTCCTCACCAGTGGTGGGATTCAAAAATTTTCACTACTGGTTCGGTGGGCATGGCTAGGTGGGGGCATGTGACTGAGTGGGCATGGCCAACTTGATGTCACTCATGCCCATGCCCACTCAATCACATGTCCCCCCACCTAGCCACACCCACAGGAAAAGGTAGGAATTTTTTTAGGATTTTCCCCTATCTACCCAGTCCTCCTTTCTCTAGTCACCCCCATTTCCCCACTCCGCCCCCCACCTCTTTGGTTGCTTACCTTCCATGGTGGCTGGTCCAGTCTGGAAGGCAAGCTGACTGGAGGTTTTGGCGGCCGCCAGCCAGCCGCTGCTGCTGCTGGGAAGTGGCTGGCTGGCAAAGAAGCCTCCCAGCCACTGCCTCTTTGCATACTAGCTCTCAAAGAGGTCGGTGGCTGGCCGCAGGCCACTGAAAAGTCCTCTGGTTGGCGAAAAAGTGGCTGCCATCGGCGCCATCTTCTTCGCACATGCGCATCCCATTGCCTTGCAAGTCCATCCCACTGCCTTGCATTAGGCCATGCTTCTGCCTTGGCTTTACCTGACCAGATGAAAGTCTTTGAACTCTTTGTCTCTGAAATGAAGGGATGTGCCCTTGGAATTTTACTGCAAAAACTGGGCCCTGAAAAAGTCCCTGTGGCTTACCTGTCTAAAATCCTGGACCCAGTGGTCAGAGGATGGCCAGCCTGTCTCTGATCTGTTGCTGCCACAGCCATCCTCATCCAAGAAATACACAATATAACTTTGGGGGCACCCCTTCACGTCTATATGTCTCATTCAGTTCAAACACTCCTTGAGCAGAAACTCCCTGCGTGGGCTACTTCATGTCAGGTTTCTAAGTATGCAAGCCAGATTTTAGAATCAGACTCTGTTCAGCTTCACAGATGTGAAAGGCTGAACTCAGCTACCCTTCTGCCTCCCCCCCACCCCCTGCGAGAATGGTCCAAGGCAAGTTTGTGTAACTGTCTTGGAATCTGTGGTGGTCATTCTTGCGGACCTTAGGACTGAGCCTTTTGACAATCCCAAGTCTCAACTCTGGAATTATGGCTCCTCTTTTGTAAAAAGTGGAAACAGATACACAGGACTGGCCATAGTTTCCAAGAATGGACCCCTCCTCCTATGACAACTCCCGTCTCACTGGTTCGCTCAAGTGGCTGAGCTTCTAGCCCTGATTGAGGCATGCCACCTGTTGGCTGGTCTATGCACTAACATTTATACCGATAGTCGTTACACATTTTTGGCCACACACACCCATGCAGCCCTGTGGCAGGCCTGCGGCTTTACAGACGCTGATGGGAAAAGTTTAAAGATGAATCCTTTGGTAGAAAAACTTGCTGTTAGAAAACCATCTCAGTTGAGGCGGGGCTGATGTCACAATGGTACGATGTGCGATCTTTTTTTAAAAAAATAATTTTTAAATTTTTTTTAATTTAAAACAAATACAACATCCTTCTTTACATGCTATAGAAAGTGTATCAGTTGGTTACAAAANCCTTCCTTTCTACTTCCTTCTACTTCTACTTTCTACAGTTTGAGAGTTCTTAATCTTTAAGTAAAACCAAAGGGGGAAAATAAGGGCTAAAGAGATCAAAAGATGAGCCACTAAAGGTAGAATCGATATAGGTGACACTAGTAAGTATAAACATGATGGAATCCTATGACCCACAGCTGCTCACAAGGTAACCACAACAACTATTTAGAATGGAGGAACATACTCAAGGCACCAAAGTATCAGCTGGATTGGAAGGCAAGATTAGAAACAAAACTGGAAAAAGAAACCGAAAGAGTATCTCAGTTTTCCAGGATTTCAATTGGCCCTCTCTTTCAAAAAATCATTACACTTTGAGGGGGAAAAAAACAAGCAGAAGTGTTCATCACAACGCCATTTTGTAATTAAAAAATAAAGGCTATTTGGTTTGGAAAAAACATTTTTGACAATTTATACATGACGTAACATTTGGCGTTACATTTGAATTAAATAAGAAACTCAAATACTTTGGGAAACTCAAATAATTGACCACCTAATGAGAAGGAAAGACTCACTGGAGAAGAGCCTAATGATGGGAGAGATTGAGGGCAAAAGAAGAAGGGGACGACAGAAAATGAGGTGGCTGGATGGAGTCACCGAAGCAGTAGGTGTGTGAGCTTAAATGGACTCCAGTGGATGGTAGAGGACAGAAAGGCCTGGAGGAATGTTGTCCGTGGGGTTGCGATGGGTCGGACCTGCAAACAACAACAAAGAAAAAGTGCTTCAACCGGGGGTGGGATGTTTTGGTTTTAGAATGTGCTTTCATGGGGTGTATGCAATCCAGATATCTTACATATGAAGCCAATAAGAAGTTGCTTATAAGCAGGGTAAGAGCTGATTTAAATATTCAAAAGAAATGAATGTTCTTCCTCAAGAGCCTGCAGGTGTGCTTTTGAGTCCTTCCAGCGGGCTCTTGACTACAAGAGATGTTCCCGTCACCAGTCACCGTTTAAAAAATAAATGATATGAATAGCTCAAGCTTCTAAGCCTTTGCATTTTCAAGATCAGATCTTATTTCACGTTCAAACAATTTCCCCAGGGGCACTCCCCTCCCCAATAACATGAATTATTTAGGGATATACTTGCTAGAACCATAATTGAACATAGTGCACCATTGAAAAGAATCTTATCTATGTGTTTAAAAATGGGTATATGGATTTCAAATCTCCTTCTCTCTTGATTCAATCATAAGGCACCTTCCATATCAAAACAAAGTTTGGAATAAGTCAAGAGTTTATATTATGGCATATTTAAGAAACATATTTTGAGGATGGGGGGAAAGACTTGACAGAAGAACCAAGCTCAACAATTTTCATTTCCAGCACGATTTCACCTATGTGCGGATTTTATTTTTGAAAAGCACTAAGGCATTTACTAAAATGCTAACCAGAAAAGCTTGGCTTGTGGATTCCTAGCAAACAGTATAAAAACACTGTCAGAGGGAATCAACATCCTTAAGAAAGTGGCCTCTTAGTGGAGTGCTTATTAACTGGAACCACTTTAGGATGCATAATTGGTTTGGACACTCAAGCTGATCAGACCTAGGTCTCCTCTCCTGCCGGCAAATCGCCCATGACAGTTTTGATCATTTAACATTTTAAAGTTCAAATCAATATATGCAAATCGTTGAGAGATGGAGTAGTAAAGAGAGAAAGACACTAAAAATGTTTTAAATAGGGTTGCCCTGGATCAAACTGTGAAACGGTAACCACATGAACCGTCCTACATGTATGTCAATTAGTAAAGAAGGCTGCTTTTGGGGGTTAGCAAAATTCTTGACCCTCTGCCTTAGCCTTAATTACGAAGTGGAGGGAGGTCTGCCATATGAAATTTAAAATTTGGGGGAGGAGGTCACATGAAGCAGGACAAGGCTGGCATTATAAAACTTGCTTCTGGCTTTGCTGGTGCTCAGAACTAATTAACACACCTAATGTAGTGAGCTCATGCATCAGTTATTCTCCCAGCTCCTGAAAGCAACAGTGTTTCTCTCAGCACATTAGTGCTTTCGGTTTTAATTTAGTTAGACTATGGAAGGATATATGAAATGTCAAAACACATCTTTATTCAGCCAGATGATAGGTTCTGGCTGATTTATTTGGTTCCAAATGCCATGCCAGTCATTCAAAAGGGAAGAAATTTAGTTTCAGTTTATGAAGAATGTAATCATTTCATACTGAGAAGTAGACTTTAAAATCCCAATTCAGAGTCCCTTTCAACACTTCAGGTATTCTCTTAGCAAAGTTTTTCTGAAGGCAAACAATCCAGGAGCTCACCAGGTATTTTGGACAACAGTGCTAGAATAGTAGTGGTCCACTATGGGACTTCTTATTCAAGATACAAGGCTTTGAAAGCATGTGTTTATCTCAGCTGGTGCTAAGCAATATGTTTATACAAGGAATGAGCTTCTGTTTCTTGCAACAATGACAGAAGAGTAGAAACTATAATGTCAGGAAAGTAAGTGTGTGTGTGTGTGTGTGTTTGTCTCTGTCTCTGTCTCTGTCTCTCTCTCTCTCTCTCTCTCTCTCTCTCTCTCTCTCTCTCTCTCTCTCTCTCTCTCTCTCTCTCTCTCTCTCTCT